TTTTGTAAGGTCATTTTCTAATAATTACAAAGAATTTGGGGGTGAAAAGATGCTCTATTAAATTATTCTTTTTTTAATTTCAAAATTGAAGTCATAAATAATCTCAATTGGACATTTAAAGCGCCATATATATAATAATTCCATAAATGATAACCGGAAGCTCCACTTTATTTTCTGATCCCATTTTTTTTCTCTTGGTTCCTCTTCACTTCATACCTAACATGAACATGGTATTTGAAGCTTAGTGTGACTAATGGATGCACCAATACAATTTTAGTGATTTGGTGTGAGATTAAAAAGTTAAAACAATTGTGGTCTATATACATAAAAATTAATGACGGAGATTAGGATTTTAAATGTGGGTCTAATCTAACAATTTAAATTCGTGAGATTCTTCTCAAGTTTAAAAGTTTAAAATTTTAAGTTTTAAGCCTTAAGTTTTATTTTTTTTAATTACCTAATTTTTGTTTAATCCAAAGAATAATGTGTAATCCTTATATTCTTTTTACGTCTTATCACTGTTAGTTATCAAATCAAATAACAAAAATATTCTTTGTAAAATTTTAAATTTGCTTGACTACAGCAATTTAATTATAACAATAATGTAGACATAATGATTTTTTTGTCTTCGATTCTCATTATCATGTAATTACTTTTCAAGCTAAATTTAGTGTGATTTACAAGTCATTAAAATATAAGATTTTACAAAAACATTTTACATATTTCTGGTTTTCAAACAAACTAAATAAAATAAATTTTATTTCTTTTATCTATTATTTACACACTTGCAGTCATGATCTGTCATTGGCCTTTTTTAAAAGAAAAAGGTTAAATAATTGATAAATATTTTATTTTTTAAAGTTAAAACTTTAAGAGCATCTAAAATTTGTTGAAGTCAAATTTTATATTAATTTTTTTCACTTAAATCCTAATATTGATTTTATTGACATATGTTTATCGTCAACTTATATAATCATAATCAAATTATTATTTCAACAGAAGAGAGATAAAGCTAGCTTATTACCCATGCATACTGTAATAAAATTCATCTTTTTTCCTCAAAAATTATATTATGATAAAAGAATTCATTATTCAAGCAATTAATTGCTATCAATACAATCTTACGTAAAATATTCAAAATAAAAAAAATCTGAAAACAATATGTAATAAACAATCTTTCTCAATAGTAAATTTAACCAACCATACAACAAATATTTATGCTCTAATAATTATTAAAAACTGAAGAATAGTCCATATTCACTTGAGAGTTAATCCTCTAAATACATCGTCTTTTATTGTCTCTTTCATACACATATATTATATTATTTTAATAGGACTTTTTTTCTTTTTTTTTTCCTAAGAGAGGAAGTAGGAATTGGAAGGGAATAAGGTTGTGGTAGGAATTAGGAGAGGAAGACAAGATTGTGTTTTTTACAGGATTCAAACCCTATGCTTTACATTTTATGTCCCTTTAATTTTACCATTCAATCATCGACCAAAGATCGTAATTGATTCTTGAAAGTAAGAATTTATCTATTATTAGTTTAAATTTAATTATATTTATAAAATATTTATTTATATTAATAATGAATAAAATATTATTTTTACACATTTTTTGGTTGTACATCTTCAGAAGTCATACCCTTCATGCAAGCATCTCAATACCTCATTAATAAATATAAGAATTTAACGTGCTTCATTTACTTCCGTTAAAATAAAAAATATATATTAATAAAAATGATATCATAGTGTAATTTTAAAATATTAATAAATAAATATATATTAATCTTTATAATATTAATAAAAATATTTTTATTAAAAATATAATTCTTGTTTTTATACTTTTTAATATTTTTTTAATGAAAAATATTTTTTCTTAATTTTTAATTCATTACTTTTAAAATAATGATAATAAGAGTCAAATAAAAAATAAACCTGACTTGTAAACTATCTTAACAATATAATATATCAATAATTTTATATAAGATAAGTTTTAAACGTCCAAGAATGAATGTGAAATTGAGATTAAAAAAATTAAAGTGAAATAATTATAACTTTTAATTGAGATTAAAAATTATCTTAACAAATACGAATTGATAATTTTTTTCATAAGTCTATGAGTTGTATATTATTGAAGGTGAGAAAATATTTTATCTTTTTTTGTATAGCAATATTTTCATAAGACCGTAACATATAATTTTTAAATAATTTAATATTAGTTTATGTTTATCTGAAAATTTAAATAAGATATTATTAAATATATATAGAATTCAGTATAAAAAATAATTATATTAGTATAGTTTATGATAGTTGTACAATTTATCTTTAAAAAAATAATATTTTTTAATAACAGTATATTAAATATTAATAAAATATTTAATTTTATTAAATACTATTTTTGAAAGTAACTTACATCAAATTGAATTAATAATCCGTATTGATAATTTTTTTTAGAATTTAACATTTGAAGTATACTTGTTGTTTGATTTTTTTAATAAAATATTAATGCTTAACGTAAAAATAAAAGTATAACTTTCTGTAATTAATGACATTTTAAAAAATTCAATAATTAATGTAAAATAAATATAACTTTTCGACCGCTGGGTTCCACGCTACTAATCAATCAAGTCGATCAACTAATATTTTCAATTAGATAAATCAATCAAAATTGAGAAGCAACAAAGTCAAATAACATCAAAAGCAGTGTCTTTATTTTACTTCATGTCTAAATTAAACACCCTAAAATATATGACAGGGAAAAGTACGTTTATTTGTTCTTTTTTTCCTTTTAATTTGGATTAAACGAAGGCACGTGACATATTGACAGGACTCAATTTAAACAAATAATTTTCTCCTTTTCACGATCCCTTCTTTATCAACAAAGATAAGATTCGATTTAGAGTTTGACCGTATCTATTTTTCAAGTATTTATTATTATTTTTATTTAAGTAATTTTATTTAATTTTTTATGACCATATTGATAATTGAATTATTTTATATAAAATTTTCTTAAATTAAAATGAAAATAAACACTTAACGATAGATTTTTTTTTATCTTTATTAAAGAAAAAAAAAAAGTCTATCGAGCTGGATGGTCCTAAATTCGGCTAATAAAATATAATAAAAAATCATTTTTATACTCTAATTTTTTTTTTATTCTCAAAATATACTTTTAAAAATTTTTATAAAAATTCCTTCCAAAATTTAAGTTCTGAAACTATAAAATTCTTTTAATATTAAATATTTAGAATTTTATAATTCTTGGGAAATATAGTCAGCAGTTAGACTCCTAGAATTCGTCCTTGTGTGTATTTTTCTAGCGTCCTTTTTTGGATTTCTCTTAGGAAAAACGAAAGGCAATTTACATTGAAGATTTTCATGTTTCTTTCCAACACCAGTTGCATATATAGAACTTCATATACACATGTGAATTCGGCAAATCCACACTCATTTCCTTTGTCAAATTCAAAAGCTCCTTCCTGAGAGAGGTCGTGTGCTATTTTTTACATGATTACAAACGTTTTAACTTTCTTTTCTTTTCTTTTTATTTTTCAATCACTTTGCTTTTCCTTTTCAAATCACCTCATGGTTCATGTCTTTTATGTCTTCACCGTTCATCCGTCACTCTTCACAAAAACAAACATACTCTCTAAATAAATTAAAAAAAGATATTTAATAATAATAATAATAGAAGTATAATGGCTAAAGAAAATAAAGTGTAAAAACCAATCTTCTAAAATGTAAAATTTAAATCTTGAACTCGAATTAAATTCAAATCTTTTTAAGCCCATCATGTTAAGTTAAATGTGACTTAGATTCTTCTTCTCTCTTTTTTCCTTTTTAAATAAATATATATAATAGATATTATTTTTATAAGTTTGAATTAAATTTAAATTTTTTAGTCTAATTTTGAAAGCTTGTCACTTATAAGTACTAAGATAGAAATAAATTAAGTTAAACTTTACATAAATAACTTTAATCTATTTAATAATTTTGAAACTTGAATATAATTTTTTTAAAATTTTATTTGATTTATTAGTTTTTTTAACAGTATACTTTGTAGTGAAACTTTTAATAGATCGTTAAAATTTTTATAAATATACTATTAAATTATCTAGATAAAATATATCTCTATAAAGATTATAAAACTTGTATTTGAATAAGTAATAAAAAAAATAGTTCATCATCTTGAATATTTATGATAAAATTACATATTTTTATTATTACCTTCAAATCATATATTTGATTTAAATAAATAAAATACTAAATATAAAACAAATACAAATGCAAATCAGTATTATGTCTACAAGATAGATCAAACATAAAAAAAATTCAGCAAGTGATTTTCTCTCTTTTAAATAGTATATAGTAAGGACACTCTTCAACTTTAATAAAAAATATTAAAGATTTTATTAATTTTAAAATTAAATTTATTTAATGTAAAATTATATTATAATTTTTATATAAAATTATTTAATATATTATTATTAATATTATGAATCTTAAATAAATTATTTTATCAAGTTTAATAATTTTTTTAAAGTCAAACTCAATTTATTTAATTAATTAAGTCTAATTAAATAAGTTAAGTCAAATTATACTTTGAAAAAGTTAATGTGCGAGCCCCAATCAAATAACATGACATATGTTTATCCTTACACACAACCAATATAAACAAATAATTTTTAACATATTTGAATACAACAAAAATTTATATAAAGTATTTTTTATTTAAAATCATAACATATAATAAGATTTTTTTGTATTGATAATATTTAATAAAACTTATTATTTAGTAATCTTTAGTATGTAATCTTGTATGCATATTAATAAATAAATAAATAAACAATTTAATACTTTGACCCTAAAAAACAGAACTACACTACTTCAAAACAAAATCAGTTGCACAGATAAAATCACACAAAAGGGGGGAGCAAACACGGTCAAGCTTTCCACGAAGAAATAAATTCATTTAAGCGAGAGAGTCTTAAGAGAGTATTATGGGATCCGAAACACAGTCACAACTTCATATTGTTGACTTCACTGATGAAAGCATGAAGCCTGGCAGTGAAACATGGCTCTCAGCTTGCCATGTTCTGAAGACTGCATTAGAGGACAATGGTTGTTTCGTGGCACGCTATGATAAAGTTGGCAAGGAGCTTTGTGACTCTGTTGTCTTTGCCATGGAAAATTTGTTTGGTCTCCCAGTGGAAACAAAAGCCAAAAAGACTAGTGACAAACTTTTCCATGGCTACTTAGGACAAGTCTCATGGCTCCCTTTGTATGAATCTTTGGGCATTGACAATCCGTTGTCTATGGAAGGATGTCAAAATTTCGCTAACATAATGTGGCCAGAAGGAAATGATCATTTCTGGTAGGTACCCTTTTCCAATTTCCATAAACATTTACCCTTGTTTATGTTATAGTTAAAATTTTGTTTTATTTTATTGATAAAAACTATTCGTTTTAATAAAAATATATTATTTAAATTAATTTATACATATATTTTACTTATATTCAATAATTTAAAATTAGTTTCCTCGAAATTAATCATATTCAATTTTTAAACTAACTGGACATGCCATGAAATTGAACGATGAATCTAAATCACTGCCCCTTTGTATGTTTTGTTCTTGGTTCTTTCGATTTAAAATTAGCATAAGATCAGAAGGGAACATTCTCTTCCTTATTTGTGAAAACTTCATTAGGATAGTTAACTTAAACTTTATGATTAAGTTTAAATTTATAAAAATAGTAATTTTAAAAAATATTTATTATATTTTTATATCTGTAATATAATAAATACCTTATTTTAATAAAAAAATTAATTTTAAATATTGAAATTCTAAGTATTAAAGTTAATAAAAATGTCTTTTCATGTGTTCTCTTCCTTATCTATATCAAGTCTCAGGTTAATAGATTAACAAAAGATCAAATGGTATACAAGTAAGAGGAGTCTCAATTCTAAAACTCTAAGACATTCTCTCGAGCTTAAGTCCTATAAAAATTGTTATGACAAACAGGAAATATTATATTTCTACTATACATGTGGTTTTTTCAATTAAAAGGATGGGGCAATGCATAGGAAACTCAGACCGGTGATTTTAACCCCTTGCACGGTGATAATTGTGTTTATAGTGTGAATGTTAAAAATTGCTCATGGTAGAGGCTTCATTCTCCATACAGTGAAAGTGTCAATAAGTATGCTAAGCTGTTGGGAGAATTAGATCATATGGTAAAGAGAATGGTGTTTGAGAGCTATGGTGTGGACATGCAACGATGCAGTTCTTTCATAGAATCAAACAATTATCTCCTTCGATGCTCCACATACAGAGCGCCCCAGATGGATGAAAATGACTTGGGACTTCATTCTCACACAGACTTGACCATCACATCCATAGTACATCAGCTCAATAATCTAAATGGCTTGGAAATCAAACTGAAGGATGGGGAGTGGAGTGGGATTGATGCCTCGCCCTCCTTGTTTGTGGTCATGGCAGGTGACGCACTCAAGGTAAATAGATATACACATAAATAAATATTTATTTATTTTAAAATAATTACTAATTTTTAATTTACTTAAATAAATTTTAATTAATTCTAAATAAGATTTATTTTAAATTATTATTTTGTTAATTTTTTTTTAATTTTATACTTGACGTTAATTTCTGTCAATTAAATTATTTGTTACGTTATCTTTAATCTCTTTCTTCTACCTCACTTTTAATTTTCTAAGTCACAAATTTATATTAGTATTTTATTTTTAAAAAAATTAAAAAAACAAAAAATTAAGATTTTGTGTTTAAATCTTAATATTTAAGTACAAAATCTTAATTAACTTTAAAAGTAATAAGTCTTATTTAAAGGTAGTTAAAACATATTTAAGTATTTTTAATTTATATAAACCATTTAGCTTTAAATAGAAGTATATTAATTAATTTTTTAATTGTCTTGTTTTTTGTGTATTTATTAAATATAATTGAGAACATTAATAACAAAATAAGAGATAGTATAATCAATTCATAATTTTCTGAAATTGAGAATGTTTAATATTTTTCTAAACTTGGTGCATTAAAAAATTATTTTAAAATAAAATATAGTTCATCAATAAGATTATTATTAAAAAGTTCTTATTTTTATAAGTTAATTTTAATGTATATAAATAATGTATCAAATATTTTTAACTTAATATCAAATTTTGTATACATGATTTACGTAATTGAAACTCTTAATCTAAGAATGAGTATAACTTACACTAATGTGATTTGATATTTCCTATTTAAATTTATTATATTTGCAAAATATTAAAATAAAAATAAATAAGTCCTCACTTTCTTTAAACTTTAAAGTAGTTATCTAAAATTAAAGACAATGAATTATATATAACGAAATTAATATTTTATTTGGTTAGGCTAAGTTTTGATGGATTTTGATGGCCTAGGTGTGGAGTAATGGGAGGATACGCCCCTGTGAACACAGAGTTATAATGAATGCAAAGAAAAGCAGATACTCTATGGGACTATTTACTTTCAGTGGTGAGATGATGGAGATACCAAAGGAGTTAGTTAATGAAGAACATCCCTTGCGTTATAAACCAATATTTGACCACTATGAATTCCTTCGTTTCTTCGACAAAGAGAAAATCAAAGAATCTGATTCTCGAATCCAAGCGTATTGTGGGATCTGAAGCATACACTAATACGAAGGGTTTGGTTTATGCATAGGAGTTGCTTGTTGCCTTTTATGTGTGCTCTTCTTCGCTATAGTGTGATTATACTTTCTCTTTTCTTTTTTCTTTTTTCCTTATGTTAATAATTTCTGAACTGTTGTTTGTAACTTTGATTTCTTGTCAATTTAAATTAGATTATCATTATCTACTCTTAACATTTAAATTTATTTGGAAAGCATAGTTAAATATATATATGTTTAACAAAAATAAAAGTGTTAACAAGTAGAGAGCTGTGTGAAAATTTTTGAGTTATGAGTCATTAAATGTTCGTTCAATTTTATTTTTATATTTTATATTTTTTAAACAAACAAGTTCAAGCTCTTAAAATTAAGTTTAATTAGTTAAATGAGTTAAACTCAAATTTAATAAACTTGTTCTTAACAACTCATGATTTGTGTGTATGGATGTATGTATATATAATTATAATTTTTTTATTATATTTACTTAAAAAATCATAATTTTAATTAACTTAATTTAAATGAATCTATTAAATCATGGATTGCTGGGTATTAGTAAAAATCATTGATTTATATCATAATTAATATAAAAATTATATATATAATATATTCTAATTAATTAATAGTGTAAAAAATTGTACAGTAACAATGTACCATCATTTTATACATATAATATATACTTAATTTTAATTTTAAAAAATTATATTTTAAATGAATAGCCACAATTTTTGTCAATGAAATGTAACATTTGTATAATTAAATATTTTATTTTTAATCTTAAGTCATCTTTAGGTGGATAAAATTATATATTATTATTATTTTATTTTATTTTATAATATAATAATATTTATAAAATAATAAATAAAAATTTATTTAAAAATTTATGAGAAAAAAACATATATAATCTAACAATCAAATTTTAATTTTTAAACTTTTTTAGCAAGTTAAATTCAAATTTGAGGTTTATCTCATTTAGATAAATCAATCAAAGTTAAACATTGTTTTCATAAGTTAAACTTAACTCCAAATATTTAATTTATTTTAACTCATTTACACTGTTTTAAAAAAATAATTAGAACATGCAATTACATGTGTGCATTATTAAGTTCGTAAATTAACTGATAATGGTTCTTTCAATTTAACTCGTAATTTTAAGTTCAACTTTTAAGTGCTCTAAGTATCTAGATTGTCAATAATTGTTTCAATTTAATTTATAATTTTTAAGTTCAAATTGTCAAGAAGTCCTACCTAAGTTATCTTCAATAGAGCATATAATAAAAATTACATGTGCGTAGATTTTGCCATAACTATGAGTAATTTAATAACACAAATGCATGTTAACAACAATCAAAGATCATGTACATAGATTTTGCCATAAATATGAATAATATTACCAATGCATGCATATAACAATAAAATATTATAGAGGAAAAAGCCTACTCAATTTTCTTTAAGCATGAAAAATGAAAAGTCATTTCTTAATCATCTAACTTTCTAAAAGTTTTTATCAACATTTTCCTTTTCTAAGTTCTTGCGATTCGATAAAGGAAAATTTTTTCAATGATATAAGAATATGAACGAGTAAACTTTCCCTTTTTTAATATTTTTTTATCTTAAAAACAACTATTATGTCTTTACTGCTAAAAAGATTTAATATTTAACGAAAGTGTTGCCAAGTTATTTAAAAAATATTGCTAATTGGGTTTAATATTATGTTAGCAAATATTGTATAAAGATAATGTCGCCAAAATTTTTAACAACATTGCAACATATCCATGCCAATATATTAAAAAATATTACCAAGTTACGTTGTTACTTTTTAAAAAAAGTTGCTAATGTATACCTTTTTGCAACATATACAAAATACTAATTAACTTTTTTTTATAATATGAAAATATTAACATTTACAATATTTTAAGAATTTACGAATTTTTATTTGTAATTCATTATTTTTAAAAGGAATTTAATATATATATATATAATAAATATTTTTATTATTATATTTAACATTAAAGTATTTCAATATTCAAAATTTTCTATTTCTTCTACTTTTATTATTATAAAAAATATATTAATATTTCTACTGTTCAAAATAAAATTAAGTATGATAATAATAAGTCTTCTTGCTTCGTATGTGTATGTATTACAGAACCTCTACAATATTTCAATACGTAAGTCTGTAGAAATACAATAAAGTAAGTTTTCTTATTCTTATATAATTTATTTTTTTTAACCATCTTAAAAATTCTCTTAAAAAATAATTTTTTTGTCTTAAATAACACTAACTTGTTAAATATTTAAAAATAATAATTTGTAAAATACTATATAATCAATAATGTTGATTTAAGATAATAATATATTTTTTTAAATTAAAATTTTACAAAACTAAAATTAAAATTAAAATTTAACAAAAACTAATTTTAAAAATATATAATTTATAAGAACTAATTACTTATTTAAGTTTTACCTCTAAAGATACATCCCTAACACATACAAAATATAATATCAAATATTTTCTTATTTAAGTGAAATTAATAAATCACGTTTAACTTTTATAAAAGAATGCAAATTAAACACATCCAACATCTTTACAAAAATAACTAAATAACTTTGAATATAATTTCAAAGACATAATTTCACGTTGAATTGATGTCTTCTTATCATTTGACAATAATTGTAGAAGAACGAAAAGCATAACCAAAGGAACGAAGATCCTCTTTTATGCAAGAGAGGATTCCGTTTTTTCTTAAGTTCCTTATCTATAAAAATTAACATAACATGAGTTTTATAAAACACAGGAAATCATAGATATGAATAATCTCAAGAATGAAGATGTCCATTTACTCTATCTTTGTTATAAACTTGTGAAATATATTTTCAATGTTAAATAATTTTTTTTATTTGATGCTCCGTTTTAATATTACAATATTTGCTCAGAGCTGAAGTATAAGGCTGAAGCGATTTGAGTACATGAGGATATATATTACTAGGAGTTGGAAAGCATGTGAGCTAATTTAAGACTTAATAGTTTGATTGAAATTGAACTGGAGTTAAAATGGTGATAATTAAGTTAAGAAAATTTTTAAATTAATATAAAAATATCATAATATTATATGTTTTACAAGATAAAATTTTCGTAATGACTACTTAAATTATAGTAATTCATATACACGTCTTTTATATGAGCTTTAACTCATTTTAAAAAAATACCTATTCAGACCAGTTTATTGGTACTGGTTCATAGTTAATTCTGACTAATTTTTGAACAATTTAACTGATTTTTTAAAATTTTTTGATCTACTAATTTTTTGAATATTCTAAATTAATGATCTAACTGATTTTCGGTCCAATTGATTGAAAATAAGAATAAATAAATGATATTTTATGAAGTGTGTGTGCAAAAAATGTAATAAAGAATAAAGATAAGTGTGAATATCATTACACCCAGGGTCAATTGGGCCCCATGAGTGCACACTCAGTCAAATATATCTTAATTGGGATTAGTTCTACACTCACCGGTAAAGAAGAGAAAAATATTTAGTTTAAAAATATATTTTATTTTAATTTTTTAAATTTAAAAATAAAGAAAATCATTCACCTTTTTTTGCTTAAAAAAATTCCCAAACAACAGTTTTAATAACTTTCCACACACTTCCTTCATATTTATAAATCATTCGTTATTTTTTGTATACTTACACGTTAATTCTGCGATAGCACACCAAAGAATATAATGTGTTTATTTGCATATGCCCAAAAGCATTTTATGAGTAAAGGAATATACTTGGCAAGATTACATTATAATGCGAAGCAAACATACAAAAGAGAAGGGTTTTTCTTCCAATGAAAATGATTTTCTGTGAAACAACATTTTTATTTTCCAAAATATACAAGAAAAGTTAAAAGCTGTTCGGCAGTTGGGACCATTTACATACATGAATGAAGATAATCACCTAAAATTGGGACCAGAAAATGAAACAAATTGTTATCAAATTTTTTAACATATATTGACGTAAAAATGAAACAAAATATATCAATTGAAGGATAATCATAGAAATGTTTAACTAATATTCAATATCTATGATTCGATTATACAAGATGATGAAGGTACCCAATTGGTAGGGGACCAAAATTATTCTTTGTATTTAGTTTCTATCAATTGATAGATAATTATAGCTGTATGTAACTAATTGTATAGTATATAGCGCATGACCTTTCCTGGGCATTGAAGAAAGAAACAAAAACTTATAATTAATCTGATCCAGAATGCAAATAAAACCATAGTTAATGTGCAAGTTATAATTCGTATTTAATTTGAAAATTATTGATCTCTACAGGGATACATTTTATTTAGATCTTTTACTTTGGATGATTATATTTTAGTAAAGATTTTACGTAAATATATAAATTTAATTTATATACATAAAGAAACTAAAGACTATATGAAGTTGGAAGCAAACCAGACCAAGCCTCGACAGAAGTCTATAATAAAGAATTAAAGACTGTTTCTTCTTTTTGGAAGCAAAGAAAATGTAGGGTGGGAAAAGGACATTAATCTAATATTACCATGGCTTATCACTAGAGGTATTTATTAAAATTACATTTACCTCATGCAGTTGTCATGAACCAAATATTCATCAAGCGAGTCAACTGCATTGGCAATCACATAATTGCTATTCAATTAACACTTAGTGTTTTGTAAGCTGTATATTATGGTCTATATTGTCTCCTTATGAGTTGTTAAGTGTTAACGTTAATAAGGATATTATTCTCTTTGATCAAACATATATGAAATAATTTATTAATAAATATGGTACGATTCGAAAGGGGAGACAATAATTTTATATGTAGATGAATCAAAACACCTAATAGTCCAATGGTTAGTTGGCTAATAAGAAAGGACAGAAACATGAATGGTTATAAATTAACGTACGTAATCAAGGTATTGCTATTAACAACATTAAGTCTGAGTTAAGTTTATTCATTCTCGTATAATAAATTTTA